CCACATGGCCGCTGGGGGGCAGCAGGAGACACTGACTGAAGGGGAGTGTGGGTCAGTCAGCAAAGCCGCCTCTGAGTTCCCATTGCCTGGACGGGCAGATCTTGAGCACAGCGCCTCACCCACAACATGAAGCACTCCTCTCTCCTGATGACCTGTGACCACCGTGAAGGGACTGTTCACCCGAGATGACTCAGTCACCTGAAACCCAGAACAGTGGTGGCATGTCCTGGGGACAGTAGGTTCAGGCTCTCTTGCTGTGCACTAGGTCTGGGTGGGGTGCCTCTAAGGCTCTCCCAACCCTGAGGACAGGTCTTACCCTGTTGGGTCACTACAGACACCTCTCTTTTGTGTTTGGGAAGCATGTGTGCAGAGAACTTAAAAGACATGCCGCCACTGCATCGTGACTGGGACCAACCCGAGGTGGCATCCCCTAAACCTGCCCTAAACACCTGCTACTTGGAGCAAGTTCTTAAGATGCCATTGTTGACCCAGGGACCCATAGATGGGGTATCAGGGCTCAACCCCCAGATGGCCTGGATGGGAAGAAGGGAGGGATCCACCGAGCACGTGGGGGTGCCATGCTGGATTCTTGGGCTACTTTTTTCCCTGAGTTCAGGCCTGGCCTTGGCCTCTGGCAGCTGTGAGCTGGGCAGAGTTTCCCGGCCAGCCTGCCTCTTCTGTATGTATTTACTGGTTTTCTTTAAATGTTCCCATTACTCAGGCCTCTGATGGGCACTGAGACAGAAATAAATCCCACAAGGCAGCCCAGCCAGAAGCCGGGAATCCGATTCCCCCTCAAAGACCGGAAGAGGCCCCTGTGCAGAGCATGCCAGACCACTGTGGCCCACACACTCCACATGGCCATGAGTATGGCCACACACCCCCATGCATACACATGTACACATGCATACCTTTAGACACGTTCCCTCTGCGGGCTTCACACACACCACACATGTGAACACTGACGCACATACTAACACTTGGATTTGCTTCATGTGCAAACTGACTTCACACATTCACACACATATCAGTGCACACATGCATGCCTTCATACACACGCTCCCTGATAAAAAGACAGGCGCACATCCAGTTGTGACCACATTCTCTGGGGTTCCAGCCTTAGCCATCTTCAAGGTCATAGAAGGTGGGAGGATGCGGCTGGCTCTACACCGCTCAGGAGGAGAGTGGCCTCATGGGAGCACAGGCTTAGGGCTGCCAGAGCTTCTGAATTTTTAAGAGAAGCTGGAAAGCTGAATTTTTATGTGAAATATCCTGATTTTTAAATGTTGGCTCAAGATGTTGAAAATACTGTGAGGGCCAAACCAAACATGCCTGTGAGCCAAATTCCACCCACAGGCGGCATTCGCAGACCACGGGTCCACACACAGTCACACACACACTCACAAATAGACATATGTACACAGAGACACATACAAACAAAAATAGACACACTGGTACATACACAGTCACATACAAACACAAGATACAGGTGATAAAAACATGGGCATATACAGATGCACATATAAACACACCAACACAGGTATACAGACAAATAGAACCACAGACACAAATACAGGTACGTACACACAGACACAAACACATTGAAGCCAACACATGGCACTGTCTTGCTGATGTAAGTGAGCTTGTTGGGGGTGGGTAGTGTGATACTGTGGCCTTCGGGCAAGGACCAGAGGGGGCCCTGTGCCAACATTATCCCCTGACTTACAAATGCTGGAGGATGCTGGGACAAGTTGTTTTGGGCTGACAAAAGCATAGTGTGACAGGGAGAGAGGGCCTTGTGTGCTAGGCCCTGGGCCCATAGGAGCTGAGAAGAAGGCTTGGGGTGGTTAAGAATTCATCCTCCATCCCAGCTGTGACCCCTCTTCTCTGTCACTGGGAAGCAAATCCAGCAGAACCCCAGGGTCCCGTCTGCAGAGCTCCCCACCAGAGCCACGACCACGTCCCCACCCCCAGTGGTTCTGTATTGTCACCATGCTGGGAGACCTGCTGGAACCCACAAGGCCTTGCAATCAGCCCCCCAAAACCCAAGGCTGAGAGTAAGGGCAGGGCCTGAAGATGCATAGTAAGTGAAGGACCATGAAGAGGCCTCATAACCCCACCTTTGGAATACCAAGGCCAGAAAGGGAGACTGAGTCCTGGTCTTCAGCCTCTAGATCCTGTCCCCTTTCCTGCTAAATCATCTTGGGGATGACTGACCATAGCCCCTGGATGGAGAGAATCAGCCCATAATCCACACCCGCCACTACTTGGTCTCCACTGCCTGCCATGGGCATGATGCTGAAGAAGGAGAGAACCTGGAGTTGTCTTGGCTTTGGAGCCTGAGAGAAGGGAAGGGTGAGTTTCCTGATCAGGCAGACTTATTGGGGAGTAAGGTGGGTACTGAGACCACTCGGGTCAGGAGATAAGAGCAGCACCTGACCTCCAAGTAGAGGCTGAGGCTCAGAGAGAGTAGGTAGCATGCCCAGGGTCACATAGTGCATACCCTGAGTCAGCCTGGGCCTAGGTCCCTGCTGGGCTCTGAAGCCCCTTCCTCCTCTGTCTTCTTGTCCACTTGAACCAGCCCCCCACCTAAGGCTTGTTTCAGTAGGCCATGGTAGGCTGGGGTCATTCTCCTAGAGTCAGCCAAAGAGGCATGGGGGCAGGGAGCCATGTGCTCAAGCTGCATACAAGTCTCATATCCAAAACTCCCAAGTTGTCACCCCTGCTAGACCTCTTTAGACCGTTTTTTTTTTTGTTTGTTTGTTTTTATACTGAGATTGAAACCAGGGGTGCTTTACTACTGAGCTACACCTCCTCTTTTTTGAGATAGGGCCTTGCTAAGAGAGAGAGGTGACCACCTGGCTCCAGCCCTTGCTAAGTAGCCAAGGATGGTCTCAAACTTGCAATCTTCCTGCCTCAGTCTCCCACACAGCTGGGATTACAGTGTGTACCACTGTGCCCAATGCTGACCTCTCTTCTAATTACCTAGAGCAGAGCCAGGATCCTCTCAGAGCCCCAGGGAATGTCCCTCCCAAACCTCCAAAGAGCTCAGCCCTCTTTCTTTCTGTCTACAGTCCCTCTGTCCACCTCCCCAGGTGAGGGCTGAAGAGTGGGGACCTGTGCACTCTAGGTTGTGCGGGGCCCATCTCAGAGAGAAGCGGGGCTGTCCACATGCCCAAGACAGGTGGGAGCTGAACTGGCCACCTCTCTGGGGAGATTTGGAGTCCAGAGAAATCTGTGAGGTCCCAGACACTGTACTAAGGGGCTGAGGTGTGGGGGTCTCTGCACCCTCCTCCCTGCGTGCCCACCAGTCGGCTCTGCTGGTGTTTACGTGTTCCTTGTGGCTTGGCTGGGCTGTGGGGCCTTGAAAGGAGAAGTGACCACCTGGCTCCAGCCACTGCTCAAGGCAAACAAGGTCCTGATGGTGTGCCAGGCCTGCTGAGGGCTCCCACTTCCTCTGCCAACACCTGGACAGCCTAAGTGGGGCTCAGGGGCCTCTCTGAGTAAAGGCCAGCCAGGCCCCAGGGAATCCAAGTCCGAGGTAGAAGACCTGGCCCAGAATCTGGGTCTGATGTGAGAGGTCCAGTCCTGTCCTGGACATCCAGTCAGGGGAGAATGGTGCCCCATCTGAAGGGGGGACCTGGCCCTGTTAGGTGCAAATATCTAAGCACGGAGAGCCAACTGGATATGGTAGGTGTCCCATTCCATTTGGGAGGGATTGCCTCTGGCCCAGGGATTCCAAGGGGCATTTTGTTCAAAGAGGAAGAACAATCCTATCCAGAGTTCTTTGTGAGGAAGGCTCCCATCACCATCGCTTCACCTGGCCACCAGCCACCTGCCTCCTACCAGGCTACCTCTCCTCTGACCTCTATGCAGCCTCCTCTGGCCTCCACATCGGAGTGGGAACTCTAAACTGTGGCTGCGACCTTGTTGTTCTCTCTCTAGAACTTCCAGTGGCTCCCCCTATCTGCAGGAATACTTGATGCTCAGTGGCCCTTCAGAACCTGGCCCATGCCCCTCTCCTATCATTCTGAGATCACACCTTAGAGAGCTACATGGATACATTAGGCCTGTGGTTGTTTGCCCTGCCTGCCATTGAGCAGGAGGGCCAGGTATGACGTTGCTCAGCATATGTCCATACCACCCACCACCTCGAGCTTGATGTCTTAGACCACAAGACCCTCACCTTGCCACCAGTGGATGGGTGTCAGGCTATGGGAGGTAAGAGTACTCCTGGATGGTAGGTCCATGGACAGAAGCAACGAGGTCTGAGGCAGGGGTGGGCCAGGTCCAGGGGGCAAATGAGGGGGTGGGAGATGTCAGGTGGGTATATTAGTGATGATCCTGAATACATAGTGGGTGGTGCATCCACCCCACCCAGCCCTCTGGGCTCAGACTCTTGACTCTCCGCAGTCCCTGGTCTACCTCTGACTTGCTTGCTCTGGCTTTCCGTCTGGCCTCTGTCTGCTTGCTGGAGGCATGTCAGCTCCAGTGTAGGGGCTGGGGCTCATGCACGGTAGGGCGCCCTGAGTAGTCACCAGATAGCCAGAAAAGGTTCATTTAGAGGCAGGGCCGTAGGCTTGAAGGTGTGGCCAGGGACCTAAGGGATCTGCTGTCTTCCTGGGGTGGGTGGGGACAATGACTAGAGGCCAGCAGGCAGAGGAGCTGGGTTGGAGGTGCCTGGGCTTCCTATGGGCCTGGGTACGAGTTGCGGGAGCAGCTGAAGTGGCAGCAATGTCAGGGGAAGGCTCAGCCCATTCCTACACAGGCCCAGTTGTGCTGTGTGTGGTCCCTGAAAACTTGAGCCTTTCTGGTCCTTGAGAGAAGTGTCTTCAGGTCCTTCCTCCTCCTCAGGTGATGAGACTCAAGGACCATTTGGGGTTCCTTGCCTTTCCCCTACTCTGGGAGTGAGTGCCCCCAGTATTTCCCCATGGCTCCCAGCCCCCTCCCTCTTGGAGTGTATCTCCAGTTCAGGCCACAGGAAGCCACACACCTCTTCCTTTTCCTTTTACCTTTTTCCCCCGTGTTTTCCTCCTGGCCCAGCCCTGAATGGGCAACCACTGTTCTCTTGGTCCATCTGCCCATCCACCCATGTCCACAGGTCCAAGCCCTGGTGCCCAGTCACATAACTGTCTCCCACTCCTCCTGCAGCAGTGGGGGTGGCCGCTCAGGCCCAGAGGCCTCCTCGTCCAGGCCTGAGCAGGAGCCATTGAGGAATCCGTCCTCCTTGGGAGCTGCCGTGACAGTAGGTGTGGTATCGAGGGTCTCGAGGACTGGGGCCCCTGGCTTGGCATGGCCAGGCAGCTGGGAGTGGCCATTGGTGGTGGCGGCAGGTAGCAGGCGGGGACTGAGGGGCAGACCGAGTCCTGTGCGGGGACCTACGTTGGTCACACTCGTGTGAGACACCATCGGACCGTAGCTATAGCTGCTGCTCCCGCTGCGTGCCTTGCGTTTGAAGTCCAGTGCCAGTGTCCAGCGGCTCCAAGATTTCTTGATCTCAGCCTGTACCTTTGGGCAGTAGAAAGGTGTCAGTTAGGTGTGCCCTGAAGCCCTTTGATACATGTCCCCCTGTCCCTGCCTCTGTAACACCCAGCCAGCACTGAACGAACAGGGGACTACTAGATAATTCCAAGGCCAAATCAAATCCCACCATCCTCAGAACATGGCTTGACTGCAGCTGACTAGCACACTCAGAGTCCACAGGGATCAAATGGCCCCAGACGTGACTGTGCCCTTCTGTTACAGAGAATTCACCCGTGGGGCTGGGAAGACATTTGGCTGTAGCAGAAATCCAAAAACCCACAAATCCTAGCATATTCTAGGCCTGAATCATCTGAAAAGACCTCTCTGCCTTCAGAATGTTCTCAGGGAAGTTCTTAGAAGAGCAAAGAACAGTGCAGAAGACCGGGGGGGCTGAGACTTGAGGAACCCCAAGCGCTCCCCATTGCCCTGCCCCGCCCCAGCACTGCCTCCTGCTTACCTCACCATTGCAGAAACAGTATATGATGGCGACAAAAAATCCCTGTGGGGAGAAGAGTGTGGGATCAGGGCCACCTCCCTCCCCCACCAGGCCTCCTCCCTCCCCCATGGGCCTTGGGTAGGGCTGCACACCTGGAAGGAGTTGAAGAGCATCTCGTAGTGCATCTGGATTTGCCAGAGCGTCCCTGAGACCTCCGTGTAAGGCAAGGCCATGAAGACGGTGTAGTGCACGCCAAACAGTGGCATGAGCACCAGGGTGGACTTGAGCAGCTTCCTGGCAGGAGGACCAGGAAGGTCAGGTCATGACCCTTCCCCTCGGCAAGCACTGCCACCCCCGCTCTGCCAGTCAGGCCCCAGAAGCTACCAAGGGGCCCAAGGCACTGTTCTGTGGGAGAACAACACAATTCACTCGGGATGGCTACCGTCAGGAGGTAGTGTTACTAGGGCTCCTTGGTTCTGAAAGGTGTCCTAGAGTTCCCTGTTTCTGGACCCTTTGCAAGTTCTGATCCCTCTGCTGGCATGGACTCACTCCCATCCCCAGCCCAGGCTTCAAGCTTCAAGTAAGCTGCTGTCCTCTTGGGGCCAACCACTGCCCATTGGGCCCTTGAGCTCCCTGCAACATACTCTTCGAAGGGAGGTCTGGGTTTGTCTGATGCTCACAGAGCCCAGCTCTAGTGCAGGGCTTACTACCAAGTGGAATCTGGCAGGGCGGGACCCATCACCGCTAGGCAGGCCAGGGCCTGGGGTGGGACAGTGGGTGGGGTCAGCCAGGGGGTCAGGAGCTCAATCCTTCCCTTGAAACAGGCTCCTTCACGGGGTCTCTGACTTTCCTTGTATAAACAGACCCTAAACTCTACCCCATGTAGTGGGCAAGGCTCACCGGTATTGCTGCCGTGTGTCACACCGGCCAGCATTGGTCTCCCGCAACTTTGTGGCAAGCACCCGGATGATGTTGATGAAGAGGATGAAGTTGAGCTGTGGGAGGGAGGGAGCTGCATCTGGAGACTGCACCCTAGCAGGGTGGGGCAAGGACTCTCCAACCCACGGCCCTGCCACAGGCTCTGCTCTGCCACTGCATCTGTAGGTGGCTCTTTGGGCCCTCAGTTTTCCCATCTCGACTGGAGTAGGGATCAGCTGGTCCTCAGGCCTTTGGGGCTCAGGTCTCTGAGTCCAAGGAAGCCTCCATATGTCCCTGTCAGGGGTTGATCACTGGGGACAGTGCCCACAATACCACCCATCCCTGCTCACCACTACAGAGGCCAGGATGGGCACCTGGATGATCCACTTCTTGTGTCCAGAGCTCAAGTCCCAGCACCTGAAGAAAGTTGAGGCATTAGCCCCTAGCCCCTCCTGCACCCATTCTCAACCTGCCCATAAAGGCCTCAGGGTTGGCTTATTCTGATACCAACTGTCAAGGGCACAGGACAGGGGTGTTGCATGTGGCTAGGCCTGAAGCCACTTTTATAGGCCTCTTTGGAAGTAATCTCTTGTGATCCTGGGGCATTCCTGGCTGGAAGTGGTCTGAGAACTAAAGCTGGGGCCACTTAGGGTCAGGGTTCATGAGGACTCCTTGTATGCTTTGCAGAGGAGGAGGAGGGAACCAGGGGTGTTTCCTGGCCTGTGTCAGCACCCCTGGCCCCTGTATCCAGCGGAACCTACCCAGTGTTGGCCAGGGTAGCTCTGACACCAACCCATACAGCCACGAAGACGGCAGGCAAACCTGTGGGCACAGAGGTGGCACTGTGTGAGGGGCTGTGGATGGGGCCCTCAGCCCTCATGACCCCCAGCTTACTTCCTTGCTGTCCTGACCCCTCACCCTAGGCACAAAGGCTGCTTGATGACAGAGCCACACTCCAGCACCTGCTGCCCTAACAGCATCCCCTTGGGGCTCCTGCCCTTGGGACCCAGCTCGGCCCTCTGCCCCATCTTGGTTCTGAGTCTCCTACTTGTACCTGTGCAGGCCTGGTGGGCACAGGGTGAAATGATAAGGTATGACCAGCTTATCCATGCCTAGCCCATTCTTTTTTCCCATCCCCTGAAGCACATGGCTCTAGGCTTGGAGCTCCCACAGGGAGGGAGACTGTGACCAATATTTTTCTGTCCCAACACCTAGGACAGAACTCCTGACCCTCCCAACCTGGTTTGTGAGGTCCTAGCCCTCATGGATGAGGTTAGATGGGCTAAGAGTTGACCTCCAGGCTAGGCAGAGGCCACAGGAGAGCCTCCAGATGTCCTGGTCTCGGTCAGCTCAGATGACAAAGGAAGCTCTGAGTGAACTTCGCCTCTGGACAAGGAGCCTGATCCCTCCTCCCTCAACTTGATTCTAGGCCTGGTGCACCCTTAAAGGGATAGGACACGATCTGGGTTTATTAGTCAGAAAAAGCTGTGACATTCCTAGGTTGCAGGGTCCTGTGTGCTCCTTAATCCAGGTGTTTCCAGCTCACCTAGACATCTCCTATCTTAGAGCCTGTTCTAGTTCCTGAGACCAGACCCAGGTCTCCCCAGCTCAGGGGCTTACCATGGTGAGGTCAGGGGTAGAATGTGTGCCAAGGAGCAGGGAGACTGTGTCTATTGACCTGAGAGCCTCTGGGTGCTGAGTGTGGGGAGTGCTCCAGCCACCCGGCCCACCCCTCTGCAGTCTGGCCAGCCGCCCCGGAGCCCAGCCAAGCTCTGGAGCTGCCAACAATAATGGATAATTATCGGTAACCGGATCCCAGAGCCTGTGGGGGGCTGGGAGGAGTGCAGAGTCTCACTCAGAGTCTTGTTTTGTGAAGGGGCTGCTGAAGCCCAGGTGTTGATGCTCAGCTGTTGGGTCTGTGGCTCTGGATCATGGACCCCATCTCCTGGTGAGAGGATCTGGCAGGGTAACAAATGCTGGCCCTGACCACCAGGCTCAGGGTAGAGAGTAGCTCCAGACTCCAACTTGAGGGTAGAAAGTAGCTCCAGACTCCAACTTGAGGCCCATTCTGACCTCTGATCCAAGATCCTACTCTGATCCCAAGCCAAATCTTTTTTTTTTTAATCTCCCAATACTGGAGATTGGATCTTGGGTCTTGTACACATGAGACAAACAAGTGCTCTGCCACTTGAGCAATAGCCACAGCCCTTTTGGTTTTATTTTGAGAAATAGTCTTGCTAAATTGCCCAGGCTGGTCTGGAACTTGCAATTTTCCTGCTTCAGCTTCCGGAGTAGCTGGGATTACATAATTGAGCCACTACACCTGGCTATAAACTGAATCTTGACTTGAGAGTTCCCGTTCCCCCTCTTCTGGGCTGAGCCTCAACCCCAGGTAAATCTGACCCTAGGTGAGCCAACACCAGATGAACTCTGACCCCTGTCCAGTTCTGTTCCCTGAGCCTGGAATGGGGTCAGTCATAGAAGGGTTGGCAGGGCTCCCACCTACTGCCCCCATCAGGGACAGGACATGCTGTGTGGGTGCCTTACCCTCTGGGGTGCCCTCTCACCCTGCCCACCGTCCCTGGCCTGCCATGCGTACCCCAGCCGAAGACCGTGAAGCCCCACAGGTACTTCTTCTCTGAGAAGAAGGCCATGAAGATGAGGCTGTGCAGGTACAGCCCCTCCACCAGAATCCAGTAGTAGTTGGTGGCCAGGAAGTAAAGGAAGAAGGTCACAGCCACCCGGCAGCCCGCCTAGGAGACCAGCTGGTATTAGCCAGACCCTGCATCAGGGAAGTCAGGGCTGGGCTGGGGCTTGGGAAGGGAGAGCAGGAGCAGGGCTGGTGTGCGGGACAAGTGATACAGCCAAGCAAGCCAGGAAGGGGCAGGGTGCAGCTGGGGTAAGGGTGACAAGATGGAGTAGCTGGTGTCCTGGGCCGAGGCCAGAGGGGCATTCGAGGCCCTAGGCGATAGGGCTGGAAGCGAACTGAGTGGCGCGAAGGTCCCTGTGAAGTGGGTTTGAATGACCCCATGCTAGGGGAGGCAGCTAGGAAAGGGCCGGGCAGGGCGGGCTCCCACGAAGCCAGTGGCGGCGCAGGCGTGGGCCTCACGGGGCACTCACGTAGCCGACGGCCGCGGCGGCGGGCGGCGGGGGCGCCTGGGCAATGATGTGCAGCTCTTCCTCGGTGAGGCGCTCGGCCTCGTCGAGCGTGAAGCCGGAGTAGAGCACTGCGTCCTTGACGAAGATGCTCGCAGCCCGCAGCATGAAGGACAGGAACATGTGCATATGGATGTAGTTGCGTGTGCAGTGCAGCCGCCTGCGGGCGTGCGACATCACCGTGGGTGGGGGCACAGGGATGCACGGTGGAGGGGGAAAGCTGGGCGGTGCGAGGTAGGTAGGGGCATCCCTCAGCGGAGCCGTGAGAGGAGAGGGATAAGGGAGATGCAGATCCCTAAGCCCGGCCCCACCCTGGACCACGCCCACGCCGTCGCCCCGCCCACCTAAAGTAGGCCAGGATGAGCACAGCCACGGTGAGGGAGGCCAGGGACATGGAGTAGCCCACGGTGTAGATCATGCCCAGGCGGTCAAATACCTCCTGTGCAGGTGGGGAGAGAGAGAAAGGGGGCTCAGGGTGAGCAGGCGGGTAAAAATTGCTGGAGGAGTCAAGGTCAGGCGTCAGGGTGAGGTCAGGGGTCACCAGTGGGGCCGGGGCGGCCTTACTGGTGTCAAGTTGGTCAGGGGGAAGATTCGCACCCGCTCTCGAGTCTCATTGGTCATGAACTTGAGGCACTCGCTATAGTTGGCCCATGTTCGATTATGCCCAGGCACCACTTCCCAGCTCCCATTTCGGTCGCAGCGCCTGTAGGCATGGCCTGTGGGTCCGCGAAAAGGTCAGGGCAGAGAGGTCTAGAGCCAATAAGGCCCTGAGCTCCAAGCCCTGATATCCCTGTGGTCCACATCCCCAGCCAGCCTTACCTTTGTGATTGAAGTCATAAATGTAGTCGGGACAAGGCACAGCTACCACCTCACCTGGTGCCCCCAGGGGCCAGCATACGATGTAGTCCCACTCAGGTAGGCAGGGGCGCCCTGTACCGAGAGACAGACAGGGTAAGGAATACTAAGGTTAAGACTCAAGGAGATGAACACACCTATTGTTGGTTCCCACCAGGACAAATGTGCCTCAGGACCAGAAACTTCAGACTTGGAACATTCCGGAGAGAATATATGGAGTCTTCTTGCTGTACCCTAAATTCACCTAGCCTCAGAATTTACTACAGCCCTATGATGCAGGTGCTGGCACTGGCCCCATTTTCCAGATGGTCTGGAAAAGGCCAAGAGAAATGGGTGACTTGCTGAGGTTATATGACACAGGACCTTGCCCCCCCCCCTCAGACCCAGGTTAGACTCTGCTCCTGGCCCCACATTTCAGGTGTACCTGAAGAAGGGCAGTTCTCAGACTAACTTTCCCTCAGCTGGTAGGCTCATTATGTGACCTTTTGCCAGGGACCATGGACAGAAGGAAGGAAGTCTTCTTTCTAGTGCCAGCTAAACTTCTAAAGTATTACCGACCTCACGCAGGTGTCTCCATTCTCTACATTTCTGTTTTCTTATTGGGAAGTTAGGGTTGACCATATCAGTCCATGCTCCTACCACCATCTACGTCGACCCCAAGTGTCTGCTATGAGACACCCACGCCACTCATGAGGGGCCACGATCCACCAAATCCAAGAATTAATGGTGAGATTTGAAGCAAGGTGACATGTCCTATTTTGGAGTCTTGGCCTCACTACTGAGATGCTAAGTGACCGTGGAGGGTCCACAGCCTGTGGATCTTCCACATTCCACACCCAGCTCACAGCCTCCTTCTCTCCCCCTGTAGAGCTCCAACCACAGGACTCTCTAGCCTCCCTGGAAGGCTGCCTTGACGGCTGGACCCGCCCAACTTGGTGAAAGGCTCTCTGTCCTGGGCGCCATATTCCCAGCCCCACCCAGCCAGGCCCACAATTCCCTCTGGTCCCAGGGGAGCCACAGGGTGACCACAGGCTCCCAGATGTGGCCCATCTGGAATCCACTGCCCACCCGGCCGGTTCTAACTGGCCCTGTGGCCACAGCCTGGGCTCTGTGTTTGTCTCTCCTCACCTCCCTGAGGGACTACACAGCCCTGCTTCTCCCTCCCTCTTTTCTCCCCTCCTTCTCCCACTGTCTCTGCCTCATGCCTTGGAGGCTGCTCTACTCTCTTGCTCTGTTTTCTGGCCCTCCCCAGTATGTAGGTCCCTGTATCTTCACATGGACTCCTAGACCTTTGTTCTTGCCTCCTGGTCTTTCCTCTCTCCTCCTCTCTAATCTCCTAGGATTCTCCTCCTTTTCTCTTTCACTCCCTGGGTGGGGCTGCAGCCCTGGGTCCACTCTTGGGGTGGTATTGGATGAGTCCTTTGCCATGCACGTCTCCCTGGGTCCTGAGTCCCTCCAGCTCAGCTGCCTGCTCCTCATGCTGTTCCTTGGTCCATCTCCATACACCTTCTGCCCTGTTTTCCTGGGGAGGGAGCTGGGCCTTTTATTTTCCACATGAACTCCTATGGAAGGGGCAGAGCAGCAGGGCAGATGGGACCAAGCCGATGTCAGGAGGATGCATAGGAGCACAGACATACCTCGGCGCCTGCTGCCAGTGGCCACCTCCTTGTCCTCCTTGGACTCAGGGTAGAGCTTTTCAGATGCCTTCTCTTTCCTGGGCTTCCCTGATGTGGATGCAGATGTCCATCCCTTATCTGATTCCATTATGTTGGCTGGAGAAACCAGGGTTATTACAGCTGTTAACTGTGCTCCAACAGCAGATTTTGGGTATCCCCTGCCTCAGGTCACCCATTGTACAATAGGAGTTGTCCCCTCCCTAGTCTACTGATACCCAAATTCTTGAGACAAGGGCAAGGGAATCTTTCATAAACTGCAAAGTATTTGTCAGGTGGAGAAGAAATGAGGACAGAGAGCTGGTCAGCAAGGGTTCAAATGGGAGTGAATGCCACGTGGGATCACAAGGAACAGAGGTGGTAACCTCCTACCCAGGAGTCAAAGGCAGGCAGGAGTCAGCGACACCCAGGAACAAAGGGACCACCAGGGGGCGCACGGTAAAAGTAGAACCCCTGCGGGGTTGGAGGGGGAATCCTGTACTTGGGGAAAATGAAGTCAAAATCACGGCAAAATGCTGTGCAGGGGAGGCGGCTGGTGGTGAGGAGGACATAAGCAAGGGGTGCAGTTTGTCAGGAATGGAAAGACAAATCCCTCTCCCCCATCCTCTGCCCTAGGATATTTGAAAGAGGAGTTTGCAGCTTACCTACTCAGATCAGATGCCCTCTACCCAGCCAATGACCTTAGCTGGCTGAGTCATAGATACTCACCCCTATCTCTCTGTCCCCTTCCCATTTAGTCCCATGGACCCTCAGTTCTCCCCACCCGGGGGTCCTCTGTCTTGCTCTCTGCTCGGGTGGCCTCTTTCAAAGACCTACCCATCCTTCTGGACTTGGCTTGGACAGCTTTTCCCTTCAGGAAGCATCCCAGCCCACCCTACTGGGAACTGGTATGCTAGCCAGAGCTCTGATCCTGGCTTGCCTGAGCAGATCAAACCCCCCCCCCCCAGGGGCAATCTGTCCTTCGACTGCCTTCACAACACCCTACCACAACCTGAAAGAGGAGGCCCATGAAATTCTGGGTCCATCCTGCCAAAGGCTCTTTTCACCCCTTCTTTTTGAAGGAATGTGTGGGGGCAAGGATGCCTACAGGTCTGAGGGCTGGCAGGGCAGCATGGGGACTGGAGCTCAGGACTTCTGACAAGCTGAGGACCTCCTGAGCTTGCTGACTTAACCTGGGCCTGACCCACTCCACTTCTGGTCCTCATTTTGGCCCGCTGACTTTCACAGGGCTTACCCTTGCCCAACACCTTCAACCCTGTCACCACCTCTGCATCCTTGGCCCCCATCTTCATGCAGCCCTATCCCCACCTGCAGTCCGCAGGACTTCCTTGAGCAGCTTGTCACACTGAGCCTGGGCACGGTGCAGCAGGAAGATCTGTTCCTCTTTGGTGAAGACGTCATCCGCGTCCACCTGCCAACCCAAGGGTCAGATGACAGGTAGCACTGCTGGGCAGCAGCAGGTCCAGGGCCATCCCACCCTCCAGAGGGTCCCCCTTTCCAAAGGTCCTTGCTCTAGAAGGAATGTGGAAAGCCGGCACTTGTGGGAAATCTGTCTTATGTAGCTTCCATTTTAAAGATGGAAAGCTGGGGCACTGAGGGCTGGGGATTGCCCCATCAGAGGGAAAGGGTGAGGGCTATCCCCTGCCTGTCCACCAGTAACCCTGCAGGCTGCATCCACTGAAAATCTGTCCCATCCATTCCCCTGGGAGCATGGGAATGGATGGAATGTCCCAGGATGGATCCTCATAGGACCTGATGGCCTTCTGGGATCTGAACAGGGACTGGGGGTGGGGAGAGTTGGATAAGGAGTGTTAACTCTGGTGAGACAACCCTAGCTTGGATTCCTTCAAGTTCTGGGGCTCTGGGAGACCTTGGGAGTCACCAGTTTCCATCCTGGCCCAGCATCCCAGTTAGTACTCTTTCCCCAGTGAAGGCTGAGAGCCCTCCCGACTCCATGCTTAGGGTCTCAAGAGGGAGAAGATGGAGGAATTGTTGGCAAGTGGCCTGTGCAGGACTGCCACATTGCGTGAGTCCCCTTCATCCTGTGGAAGCTCCCTTCATCAAGCTGTCCCTATGTTTTAAGATGGACACAGGATGTTGCTGTTGCTGTCCTCTTCTGGAATGTTCTTTTTCCCCTTCCCTCCACATGCACACCCACTGGAACTCACTGGCATGATTTTAAGGAAGGAAAAAGGCAATATCCGGGAGTAGGGTGGGTTGCACCTGGGGCAGGTACCTGGTGGGAGGGTCTGAACTTCTGCTCTCTGATTTGGGAGGAAGAGATTCAGAGGGTGAGCCCAGCATGCCCAGGAGCAGCCCAGCATTCCCATGAGTGTGACTCAGAGGGGTTAGTGCATCCCCTGAGACCACTGCCCCAGAGATGGGGTCAGGATGCCCTTGGACATCCCAGCTCCAAGTTTGGGACCGATCCCCTCAGGGCATCAGGGCAGGGTCATGACCACTGAGGGCCATTCCTCCCCACCCCCACCCCCCAAAAAAGCTACGTCCCTTTAGACTCTACAGAGCACAGCCTCAGCCTGCAGAGCTGCAGCCCCTCACACACTTCACAGCGGGCCGGTCCCTCAGTGTGAGCGGAGGGGTGCGGGCGGGAGAACCAGGAGCCCGGGAAGGAAGGAGGCGGGTCGCGAAAGGGACTTGGAAGGGGCGGGCCCAGCCGATGGGGGCGGCGGGCCGGGTCAGGGAGCCTGGCTGCAGGGAGAAGTTAATTGACCGCGTCTCTTGGCGGCAGCAGCGAGAGCTTCCAGGCCAAGGAGTCTCCAATTGGCTCCACAGGGCTCGGGCTCTGCTGGTTTCACTTAGTGCAGGAGCGTGTGCATCTTTGCGCGTGCGCATGGAAGTGGCCGCACACATGCTGTCTGGCCGGTGTGAGCCTCCTTTCTGTGAGTTCTCACATGGGGATTGCCCAGCATGTAAATTTGGGAAAGGTCTGAAGTGTCTGGAACATGCATGTGTACATGTGTTTGTGGGCAAGGTCCACGTGTGGACTGTCCTTTAATATTCATGTCTCGGCTTCTCCATGTCTTTGGAGTTTGAAGGAGACACTCGGATCTCATGCGGACCCAATGCTCATGGGCCCCCAGGAAGGGCGGGAGCAGATTCCCCTGTGCTGGCTGCTGGCCTCACAACTTCTCTATCCTCCCTGCTCTGCCCACTACAGTCATGGTTGAACAGACCAGGGCAAAGTGATGAGACTTGCCAGGATCCAGGGGATTTGAGACTAACCTGAAACACTCCTTGTGCCTCTGATATTGAGAATTCAGACTGCTGAAAGTTCTGATCCTTGTTACAGTACTTATTTGCTACCATTTTGATCATTCCTAATAATATCTCCATCGATATCCCCATCACCACCACCACCAACACCACTGGCAGCACCATTACCACCATGCATACTAGTACTACTATTGATGTAACCTCCACTACCACCATCAGTACATCAACTGGTATCATTGCAACACCATATCCACCAGCACTATCACTACCACCTCTACCATGACCACCATCTACCTCATCACCAACACTGCTAGTACCACCAAAGACGACACCATCACCAACGTTACAACATTACCTCCTGTCCACACCTACTGTCCATTCCACCTTTGCCATCCTCTTGTCCTCATTCCCTCCCCATGTCCATCTCTTTGTTATTCCTTCCCCTTCTGCCCACCAAGACAAGCAGAGAATGCCCCATGGTTTCCTGGTTAATGGAGCACCTGAGCAGCTGACCAAAGCTCCCATCAGTTCTTGAGGACTTGCTGACACACCAGTCTCTCAGCAAAGTGACAAGCCCACTGAGGTGATTGGGGGTTACAGATGGTGGCCTAGCCTAGGGGAAGGCAATCATGGGATCAAAACTGGCCAACTGTTTGGCAGACTGATGACCATTAACTGATCAGTGCACCTTCTTGCAGGTTCAAGGGTCTGCTCAACATCCACCTGCTGCTTCAGCTCCACCCTCTCCATGACCAGCAGGCCACACAGCCCCTTTTCAAGAGTCTTGTGTCCAGGAGAGGGAAGGGTATGCATTTTCACACCCCATGGCCCCTAAACTGCCCCTGGCCTCTCTGAGCTTTAGGACCCATTTCTCTTTCACCCGATCAAGGCAGAGCAGTCACTGCAGCAACAATGCGGGTCAAGGAAGCACTTTCTCAGGGAGAGGAAGTGGGCTTCACAGCAGGTGCCATAGAACGCAGTTCCCTGCTTAGAATGTCCCCCCCACCCCCTCCTTCCAGCTACACCCTCCCCTTATCTGGGGAGATTCTGCCCCCAGCACTGGAGCCCAAATCCCATCTCCTCCATCACCTAGCTGTGTGTTTTTGGCAAAGTTGCTTAACCCCCATGCTTCAGCTTTCCTGTAAGTTCAGGATAATAATAGGGCAGTGGTGAGGATTAAATGAGGTACTTCATGGAAAGCCTGGGCAGGGGCAGGGCTCAAAAAAGCTGGTTGCTATTCTTGCTACTGTTACCAGCAGCACCACAGAGTCATCCCTCCCAGGCAACATGGGTACCTTGAGGCCAGGGACCCTGGGTGATGGGTGTGACTGTGTGGGTGACTGAGTCCAGGGGGACACAACAACAGGTAGATTAGTTGTGAGGTCTCAGGGAGAACTGGGGTCATGAAATATTGGAGATTGTGCTAGATAAGGTGCACCTGGCTAGCTTTTGGGGTATAAGAACATCCCAATAATTCCCTGCATTTCTGGATCCCCCTGGATTTACACTAGCATTGAAAGTCACTGCCAGACCCCCTCAAGTTTGACCTTGAAGGGTGCCTCTTCTGCCTCTGTCCTACCTGAGGTAGCCTTGTCACTTGGGGGTGAGGGCGAAAATGCTGGTACCGGTGACTCTCCTCTCAGCCTGGCATTCCCCCTGCCTGCCATTCCCTTCCCCTACCCAGTCACTTCTTCCCACTGGAAGAGTGCTGGCTGGCTCAGCTCCAGGTATGGAGGACTCAGACTTGCTCTTAGATCCAGAGTCTGCATATCTTCGGTCTCAGGGGCAAGGACTGGGGGCTAGGTGTTTGCCAGGGGGTCACTTAGTCCACACTCACTACTGATGGGGCCACCCAGCCCTGGAACCAGGGATCCTGCATCTTCCCTACCCCATCTGTGGTCTTGGAGTAGGGGAGAGGTGACTCCCCATCATGGGACTGAGCTTCAATGCTCCCCACTGTAGGGTATCTTCTCCATTCAGCCTTCCAACATGGAGCCTTTCTGTGTGCATATGTGCATATACAAAATTTGTGAACATGCAGGGGTGACATGACCCAATCTTAGCCCTGAGCTGGCAGAACAGGGTGGAAGGACAGCCAGTGTTTACGAGGTTTCAGGCAGGGTACAGGTGGGGGCTGGAAGTTGGTCCATTATTTACAAACATAGAAGCTGCTGTCCAAGCAATGGAGCACATGTGGTCAAGGGTGTGTTTTGTCTTTTTCATGGAGGTGCTCACTATCACCTCTCCTAATACCCAGCCTCACTTCCATTCTGTGCCCATGGGCAAGCTGTTCCTTCCAACTCAGCTCACAGGGAGACCCTACTGAGGAAGGCATCAGAGCTGGGGATGGCAGTGATAGTGGCAGAGCGGGTGGAGGTCAAGGCAGTGGGTAGCATGTCGAGGCTGGTGATTGTGATGTTAGAGAGAGCCCGGTTCACACCATCATCCAAAGGAGGGCTACTCTTCTCACTTCCTCTCAACCTGCTAAATTCTACACGTTTGCTGTCTGAGAATCAGGCATGTGATAATTCTCCCCCTCCAAACACACATGAAGGAGGAAATAAATGGGACTCTTCTTCAGCTCTGACAAGGCTGCCTCTGGACAAGGGTCATTTTCTATTGCCTGCTGTTCTCCTGAAGATGACTTCTTGGGTCCTGTCATCGTCTTACCTGGATCAGCCTGCCTGCCCCCACCCCCCGTCCCCTGGGAAAGGGTGCTTTGCTTCCTTGCTCACCCTTGGAAAAAGATCTGCCTGGTGTAGGATGTGGCCTCTCTGTCTGGTGGCACCTGCCACTGCCCCTGGAGATGGAAACACAGACTCATATCTCTGTTACCTTGCACCACATCCCATTTTACAAAAGGCGACACTGAGACACTGAAGCCAAGAGAATAGTCAGGAAGAGAGGAGGGTCAGGAATGGAGCTAAGGTGCATTTTAACTGAAGCAGCAGCCCTGGAGGAAGGAAAAGAAAAGAGGAAATATCCAGCCACATGCGTCCCCTGGCGCCAGCCACAATATCATATCATCTTTCCAGACTCCTTTCGGATTGCATCCTTTGCTACATCAAGTAAGTCTCTTTTTGCGAACTCTACAGAGGTAATTCAGCAGTGGAGGTGGACTCTAATTGGGCAGAGGACAGTTGGGTCCTGCCTAGTGTTAATGGCGAAGAGGTTAAT